AAAAATATAAAAATAAATTGACCTAAATTCAAACCAATCCCAAATTAAAACTGTTCCGCCAAAAAATAATAGTTAGAATGAACTACAACAACCAACCCCAAAATTGAACAAATAGCTTTAATTAAATTCTCAAACCAAAAACAAAACTGTTAAATACGTGATATAAACAAATTTTTACTACGTTAATAAATAAATAAATAAAATAAGAAAAAAAAAAAAAAAACGAGCAATATAATTTGACCCAAATAAATAAACAAAAGCGACTTCCGGTAAAAAAATAACCGCCATAATAGAATACCCACAATGCACCACTAACCCGTATATATATAAATAGCCGAGAAAAATAACAGCATATGTGGCCTGACAATTGCATATAGCATGAAACAGACTGTCGCCTCTAAGTGTTGACTTCTATGTTCACTTTTTATATTTACACACGCTCTATCTCTGATATTGAGCATTTTTATCCCATAAATATAGCACACCTTAAGATTATATTTCTTTTATATATATATATATATATATATATATATATATTTATATATTTTATATCATTAATATTTTTTTGGTATATAATTTCTTAATTGTATATATATATATATATATATATATATAAATAAATATATATTTTGTTTTGATTTTTGTTATTTATATTTATATATAATATATAATATATATATATATATATATATATATATATATATATATATATATATATGTATGTATGTATGTGTGTGTGTTAAATGTATATATCCAGAAACGATGAGTTATGAGATCCAACATAGTTTTTTTTTATTTTCAAAAAATGAGGATGTATTCTGCTTTTGAAACCAAATTGTTCACTCACCAGTAATTTACAATCACCTGAGGAGATGCATCATTACGTGTTGAAACACAACTGCAATTGCATAGAGATCCTTACATGTTTTTTCTGTAATATATATATATATATATATATATATGAAGTCTGTTTGAAAAATAATGGGACTGGTGTCAAAAACAATTTATTTCAATTCCAAACAACAAACTACATAGTAATCCCCCTCAAGTCTAATGCACTTTACCATCCTTCTCTGCCACACTTCCTATGAACTACTGGAAGAATTCTTGGATGCCCCTCAGCTCCCTTCTTATTGCCTTCTTGATGGCCTCCACATCTTCGAAACTGGTCCCCTTGATGATCCACTTGAGCTTGAAGAAAAGAAAAAGTCACACAGAGCAAGATCAGGTGAACAGGGAGGTTGTACCAGTAATGACAAAGTTCTTCTCAGTCAGGAATTGCCAAATGCTCAGGGCATTGTGAGCAGGTGCATTGTTGTAGTGAAGCAGCCACAATTTGTCCTGCCACAAAAGCATGTGAAAAAAATGCAATGGCTGCAGAAAGATAAGATTACAGTTATATACTCCCAAGATATGTTAGATGATAACACAATCTGCTTATCCCTCTTTCATCCATAGCCCACACAGCCAGTCCCATTACTTTTCAGACAGGCCTCATATAAGAATAAATAGGAAACGTTTATCAATCTAACATGTTCTACTTTAATTAAAGCATTGTCAGAGAATGAGAAATGGAAAAAAAGAAATTGTTTTTTTTTTGTGTTGATTTTCATTGGCTCATCATGTTTCACATGCATTCAACTTGTTAAATATATACTTTTAAATAAATATATTCTTATAACTTTATAAAAATAAGTTTATTGAGCTTTATATTTTGGAATTATATAATTTACCTTTATATCCTTATTTTTCCTTGATAAAATGTTCTATGAAGCTTTAAAATAAAGTTATTTCAAATTTAAAATAACTTTTTTTCTTAGAATCTTTTTCCTTTTCTTTAAAATCTTTATATAGTTATATATTTATAATATATAAAAAAATATATATATATATATATATATATATATACACACAACAATACATACCAAATAAAACAAAGTATTGGTCAAACCAAAAGAAAGCCTGCCAAGTGACCAAAGAAAAGCTTAATAAAAAGAAAAACTAACAACCAATAAAACAGAATGCCAGAAAAAAAATGATAGAAGAAAGCATGAAAATAAAACTTAAACTAATAAAAAAGACCAAAAGACAGACACCTATTGAGACAATTACGAAGAATGCTCTATTTCTAAGTTACAAAGACAGAGCAGTTACACTTCCCAACATCATGACTCAGAAACAGACAAAATTTGAACTGCTAATTAAGTTTCATGCCTACTGGTAAAGGAAAAGTGTTAATTTAGAATATGAAATGGAACAGATAGAGAAGGTTAAAAGTATTAGACGACATATAGATTTATGTCTGTTTACCTAAAGTTAAAGTGACAAAAACATGTTGCATGATTACCAGGTAGAAGAAGGGGTCAATTGGGTATAATATTTGCTAATTTTGAGGACAAAGGCAGAATAAAGAGACTGGCTTATGCTTGTCTGTCAGCTAGCAGAAGTTGCTTCACTGATTTTGGAAAGGTAAATAAGTTGAGAAATAGGATTTTATCCTGCATTGAAAGAATTCAGATAATAAACAAACCTGTGAAGTTCATAAATACAAGTGAACAAGCTGATTACATAAACAAGACTAGCTTGTTGCAAGTTAAAAAAAGATAGTTACAATTAATGACTAAAAAAAGTTAAGAACACCTTTCCTCACATGCAGCTTGAAAGTTGAACTTGTCAAAAAGAGAGCTGAGATGGCAGGATTAAATGAGTTAACAAGTGAGAGAGATTATCTCTGCCCATTTGGAAGTAATAGTGTAAGGCATAGATAAGAGAAAGAATGAGTAGTTACAGGCAGGCCAATACCTCCAACCATGTAGGAAGAGGGGATCTCCTGCATTTTATCCCCTAATGGTCTTTATCAAGGAAAATGCAAGAATTTTATTTTGCAACAAGTATTTATAAAAACATTTTCCTTTTGTCTATTCATATTAAGTTATAACAGATATATTTTTAGTTATATATGAATGTGTGTGTATATATATATATATATATATATATATATATAATTATTTTTTTTAAATATGATTCCTTCACTACATAAGAGTTCTCATGTTTCAAAAACTGTAGCCAAAAACTTCAATATAATTATTAAAATTAAATTAAAGTATCAAGCTCTGTTTCGTCCTCAAGCGAAAATTTTGGAATAATTAATCTTGAAATTTACGCAGCCTTATAAGATTTATTCATTTGTAAAATTAATTACTATGGTAATGGCTGAAGCAATTATTTCAATAAAGGGACATAAGGGTTAACATATTGTGAGGAAATATTAATTACTTTTTGGAATAGGTCAAGTAGGAGGTCGGGGGTGTCTATTTAAAAAACGAATGACAATATTCACTAGATTATGTCTGTTTCAGTGACACAGAGTTTAAAACGGTTTTAAATTTATAACACTTTTGTATTTAGCATCGTTTTTTTAATTTATCAGAAATAAAAATATAAATAATATGGATTATTTATATACATGTTTTTATTTTTTTATATATATTTGCAAAAAACAGAATTTTATATATATATATATATATATATATATATATTAGGTTATGAAATGGGGGCTGAATAGTTCTATTTTAAATATTATTTCCAAAAATCTGACCAAATTTAAACATTGAACTTTTTGCAGTCATTTTTTTTATCAAATGTTACAATTTCATTGATCACTGAGTGTCATGTCAAGCGTCATGACTTCACTGGTTACGGAACATCATGTCAGGTGCTACAACTTCAATGGTCACTGAGCATTATGTCAAGTATTACGACTTCAATGGAAATTAAGTGTCATGTTGTTTTCTTCTTTAAGTACCATCATATTGTCCTTTTCTTTTTTATTTGTTTGACACTGACATATGGAGATTAAAACTACAAAAAAAGGCAATGCTTGCTTATAGACACAGGCCTATCACTCCACAAAAATTATTTGACATTTGCTTATAAAAACTGAAAACCATAATAAAACTTTGGATAATTTATATTCAAATTCTCCCAAGAAACCAGAAAAATGGTCTGAACTGAAGAAAATAGGAAATTTGTTTGAACTTCAACAAAACTTCATCATTATATATATATATATATATATATATATATATATATATGAACCTTCAGTGGACCAGCATCACTGGTCCTCATCCATCTCCTAAATCTCACATGTGATGCCTCCAAGTTGCCATATTCCAGTAAACCATTTCAGCTGGCAAGCTAAACTTACGTCAGATGTTAACAGAACACCACAATGCAGGTAACTGGTCAAGGTGACCTGCATTCAGGTGGATGGATTCCACAGATGAACAACAATATCCATGCATTCACAACTAAGACAAGCCACCTAGTTGGGGGACATCAGCAGTGGTTTAATCTGGAGAGGGATGGGCTCCACCAGGTTAAAACATCCAAGACATATCACACAATGAACACACCAAGGAACCATATTCAGAGAGACCCAGGCTCTGACACATAAACATGACAGTGCCCCAATGACTCCTTCCGGGGTTAAGGCCAAAAGCAAAAGAAGAATTATATATATATATATATATATATATATATATATATATATATATAGGTAGATGGATAAATATATATATGTGGTGGAAGAGAGAGAGAAAAAAAAATATATATATATATAGGGAGAGAGAGAAAAAGAGAGTGCTATATATTTATATCAATATCAATGCTGATTAAGAAATTTTAATCCTTACAGAATTTTTCAAGATGTTTTCCAGATTTGCTCAAGAATGAATTTATGGTAAATTCCAAGCCATCTTATTAATAGTGAGGCTGGAAATATTTTCATGATCACCTCTCATGTATTCTTGAGTCAAGCTTTTGTACCCAAATATATAATCTCCACCCTTTGCAACCCATGAATTTTATATATGTTTTTATATTAAACTATTGCAAAAGATCTGCTCGTCCTGGTCATTGCAATAATCATAAATGCTGAACATATCTGTCTTTCAGAAACCAAAACTTCCCTTCAGGGGACAAGGATAATTTCAGTAATCTCACTTAGAGACTAAATCTATGTATGGGTGTGTAAAAGAAAAAGATAAGGTGAAAGAAAGAGTAAAAAGTAAGTATATATCATTATGAGTGTAGGAGAAGAAAAAGAGTAAGAGAGAAGGAAAAAATAGAGGGAAGGGAGAGAAGGAAAAAATAGAGGGAAGGGAGAGGAGAGAGGGGAAAAAATAGAGGGAAGGGAGAGAAGGAAAAAATAGAGGGAAGGGAGATGGGGAAAAAATAGAGGGAAGGGAGATGGGGAAAAAATAGAGGGAAGGGAGATGGGGAAAAAATAGAGGGAAGGGAGAGAAAGAAAGGGAAGGAAAAGAAAAACTAAATATATACAAGAAAAAGACAGATATATAGCATGAGAGAAAGAGATATAGAGCGAAAGAAAGATAAAGAGATATAGTGTGAGAAAAACGTAGCATGAAAGAAATATAGATATAAAGTAAGAGTAAGAGACATAGAGTAAGAGTAAGATAGAGATATAGAGTAAGAGAGAGATAGAGACAGAGTGTAAAAGCAAGAGAGAGATTTAGAGTAAAAGAAAGATATATAGAGTAAAAGAAGAAGAGAAAGAAGAAGAGAAAGAAGAAATGTACTTGTGGAAATAGACAAAGAAGCAAAAGCATTAGCACAATACATAAATCTAGAGGGAAAAAAAAGAGTAGAATAGAATCAAAACAAAGGCAAGAGAGTGTGTTTTAATAATAAGGGGATATTTGGAGAGGAGATGGTCATCTACATATGAGTATATGTTATTCTATGTTAGCATGTATATAGTAAGAGAGACTATAAAAAATTCAAACAGGAAGAATGTGTCTATAACTTTGAAAACAATCATTAACATATCCAACATTGTTTGGACACTTGAATCTCTTTGAATAATTGCTACTGTGAAAACAACATTTGGGCCGATCTGGATAATTGAACAGGAGCATCATTAGGTTGACCAGGTACTGATATTCAGGTAGAATGGATTTCAAATAAGCTAAACAAAGTTGGTGTTAGGAAACTCTCGCTTTGGAATCTCCTGGGTACTGAGTGCACTTAATTGTGTTGAAATGGACTAGTCCATTTCTAAATAATTTCCATTACCAGTTTTTTTTTTTCTTGCTCTGTACTCATAGATTATACCTAAGGAGGACTGAAGAATGGATCTGTTGAAACACTGTTAACAACAGTGAGCATACAAAGAGATTTGAATGTCTAAACAATACTTGATAGAAAAATAATGTTTTGTATGTTTAAATAAAGAAAATGGTCCAGAATAGAGAGAAGAAAAAAGGAATTTGAATATAAACAATATATATATATATAAGGAAATGTATTAAATCTGCCATTTTTAATTTATTTGTTTGAACATTATTTTTAATGGATATTTATATTTGAGTAGGCAGTCTGCTTTTATTTATTTATTAAACAGTATATTTATTTATTTTCATCTACCGGCCTGAATCTTTGAGAAATCTTGTTAGAAAAATGTGTGTCCTCCAGCAGGATATATATATGTGAGAGAGACAAAGGGTTATATGAGTATGTTTGATTATGTGTCTATTAGGATAGAGAGGAGAATAAATGGGAAGAAAACGTGTTTCTCCAGAAAAGCTAGATGAATAAGATAGATGTGTGTGTGTGTGTGTGTTAGGAAAGGAGGAGGGGAGAAAATAGATGGAAAATGTGTAAGGTGGCCAAGATAATCAACAAGGAGATACAGAAAGGGCCATGTATATGTGAGTATGTTTCATTATGTGTGTGTGTGTGTGTGTGTGTGTGTATTATTTGGTTTGTTTTTAACAACTTATCAACCTCTTGTGCGTTATTTTCAAACTCTAAGAACAATTACTTTTTTTGTTGCAAGTGAATAGTGCATTATAATATTTTTGAGAATAACAACTATTTTTCCAGATACAAGTCCTACAAGATGGATTCACACCTTTCCCAAGGGTATTTGCATGTGAGTAAATGTAACAAACAAAACATAAAAAGCTTATGCATTTACACTTTCTTACCGAAGGGAATTTTTTTTATTCAAATTACCCCCGCACATTTCATAGCAATGTCTTTGATCAGCAGGTTTTGAGGAGTGTAAAACCACCTCTTAATTGATGGTTTTTCCAGGTTCACCCTGACCTGGGGTGGTAGCCCCTGTTAGGGTCCCAGCTATGGGCAAATAGTTAACACCCAAACTGGGGTCAAAACACTATGAAAGTATAAAAATAGGTTTTAATACCAGCAATACATTTTTGTAAAAAATTATTACCAGCAATGAATTTTTGAAGAAAAAATTACCAGTAATACATTTTTGATAAAAATATTACCAGCAATAAAAATCTCATCGGCATTAAATAACCCATGGAGGTTGATATGCCATAAAAACAAACCCAACCAAATTAACCCCATGCAAAGCATTAAAGCCACTAAGTCACAAGGAATCACATGGTGTGAAAGATTTAGAAAACAGAAACAGTATTAAAGAGTGAGAGCAATACAAGAGTAATCGGAAAGTAGATAATGATTGATATTGTATTTAAATTTTTGAAGAGCAAAGTTGGCTGGAAAGCATGGAGCAAGTGCAAGAAAAGAAAGTATTAGCATAGAACTTATGGTTACATCTAGTCATTTCAACTGTAAATTGTTGAGACGTTACTCATCTATTACTACACTTAAATTCATGAAGTCTAGGTATCATAGTGAAGAGTTCATTCAAACAATTACCATGACAGTATTTATAGAAAAGACACAGGGAATCAACTTTATGGCAGTAGGAAAGTGACTGAAACTGAGATGTCAGGTTAGGACCAATAATATTGCTGATTCTTTGTTGTATTTTATCAAGAATCTCTAAATATATAGCAGAAGCACTGAATCATATGTAGCAGCAATATTCTAAGCATGGTCAAATGAAATACTTATAGATATGTAAGATAGATTCTGGAGAGAAAACTTGTCTAGCATAACACAGTGAACTTTCTTAACAGCTGATCTAGCAAAAGATTCAATCTAGTCTTTCCAGTTCATGTCAGCTGAGAATGTTAGCCAGAGAAGGTGCAATGAGTCAATCTCCTGGAGGTTAGAATCAACCATGCATATAGAGTGGCATAAAGGGGTCACTCAGATGATTACAAGAGAGCAGATGTGTTTTGGAGGTGTTAAAATTAACAAGCTATTTTTGCTCTAATTAACAGTAGACTGTATGCCATTATTTAGAAAGCCAATTTGACCTTATCAAACTATTGAAACTGGAGTAAATGATTGTGTCATCAACATATATTCCAAATTCTCCAAGCCCTCATTCCTCATTGTGTGTTCTAGAAATTTCAATTGTCTCTTTCTGATTGTAAGTATCAGTTTCCTTGTTTCTATTTTTCTTAAAACTTCTTCGTTACTCACATTTTCAATCTATAGTATTCAAAATTCAAGTCTCTTTGTCTATGAGGAAATTATCCAACATTCACTGCCATATAGGAAATTAGATATTGCATAGTAGTTCTACACTCCTTTCTTTGTTGCTAAGGATATTTTTCTTTGTTTTAATACTTTGTTTAGTTTCTGAAAGAAAGTTGAGAGCTGATGTCATCAGGAAGGTCATGTAATGAACATGACTGGAACTCAAACTCAGCTCTTCAATTTCTCATTCTGAGCAACTATCCATTACACCACCTGCACATCCTGAATTAGGAGAGGAATAGAGCATATAGAAATTAGGAGAGGAGGAGGAGAGCATGTAAAAAGAAGAGAGAGGAGGAGAGCATGTGAAAAGAAGAGAGAGGAGGAGAGCATGTGAAAAGAAGAGAGAGGGAGGGCCATGTGCATGTGTGTTAAGAGATATAGAGCAAACAGTAAGAAAATTTGTTTGTTTGTGAATATAAAGGTGGTGCTGAAAACTTCTTGGCCTGACCTATTTCCCAAAATCTGACTAAATGACAAAACACATTCTATTTGGGAGGGCTTCCTGGTTGAGCTGAGAATTTATCAGTACCCACTTGCATAGAGAAGGTACCACAGAAAAGAGAGGATACTTACCTACCAACCTCTCCACCATGATATTTGGCTTGACACAAAGTCACAATCAACATGTAGCCCCATATGCGTACATGCAGATGGTGCCAGAAATTGTCAAGTTCCCCCCAGCATTTCTCCTTTTGGGATGCCTCAGGCATTAGGGATTAACCATGATCCTCTCCCTGTAAGTGCAGTCAGGATGGAAGGATGAGCCCCTGGAAATGGATTTTGGTTAATTCTTGCCTCAGGTTCTATAAAGTTGCCATGCAGTGATTGACCCAGAAGAGAGAGAGAGAGAGAGAAAAAAGATAAGCTTTTAAAAGGTAGGGAAACATTTGAAGAAGAAAGAGAGAGAAAGGAAACAGGAATGAATGTGGGGATGTCTAAATGTGTGTATTTATGTAAATTAAGGAGGAGACAGTAAATTGAGAATATGTTTCTGTATTGTTTAAGGAAGATGAAACAGAATTGAGGGAAGAAAGCAAAAAGAGGATTTGTACACTGTAGGAACATGCATGTCTATGATATACATTGGAAAGAAAGACAAAGAAAGTGTTTTTTGTGAAAAAGAGAGAATGAATGATGTAAATTGAGAAAAAGAGAGAACGAATAAGGTAAATTGAGAAAAAGAGAGAACGAATAAGGAATAAATTGAGAAAAAAGAAAATGAATTCCAAATTGAGAAAAAGAAAAATGAATAAAGGTAAATTTTGAAAAAGAGAAAATGAATAAGGTAAATTGAGAAAAGAGAAAATAAGGTAAATTGAATAATGAATAAAGAGGTAAATTAGGAAAAGAGAAAAAAGGTAAATTAAGAAAAAGAGAATGAAAAAGGAAAGAAAAAATGAATAAAATTAAATTGAGAAAAAAAATGAATAATTAATTGAGAAAAAGGAAAATTGAAAGGTAAATTAAGAAAAGAGAAAATGAATAAGGTAAATTGAGAAAAGAAAAAAGAAAGAGAATGAAAAGGAATGAAAAAATTGAATGAAAAAGGAAAAAGAAAAGAGAATGAATAAGGTAAATTGAGAAAAAAAAATGAATAAGTAAATTGAATAAGGAAAATTGAAAAAAAAAGAGTAAATTGAGGCCTTTGAATGAATAAGGTAAAAATCAAAAAGAGAAAATGAATAAGGTAAATTGAGAAAAAAGAATGAAAAGGTAAATTGAGAAAAGAAAAGAAAAAAGGTAAATTGAGAAAAGAGAATGAATAAGGTAATTGAGAAAAGAGAAAAATAAGGTAAATTGAGAAAAGAGAGAATGAATAAGGTAAATTGAAAAAGGGAAATGAATAAGGTAAATTGAAAAAAAGAGAATGAATAAGGTAAATTGAGAAAAAAAGAATGAATAAAAAGAAAAAGAGAGAATGAATAAGGTAAATTGAGAAAAAGAGAGAATGAATAAGGTAAATTGAAAAAAAGAGAATGAATAAGGTAAATTGAGAAAAAGAGAAAATGAATAAGGTAAATTGAGAAAAAGAGAAAATGAATAAGGTAAATTGAGAAAAAGAGAAAATGAATAAGGTAAAAATGAAAATGAAAAGGTAAATTGAGACTTTGGAGAATGAATAAGGTAAATTGAGAAAAAGAGAAAATGAATAAGGTAAAAAAGAAAAGAGAAATGAAAAGGTAAATTGAAAAAAGTTTAAAATGAATAAAATAAAATTGAGAAAAAGAGAAAATGAATAAGGTAAATTGAAAAAGAAAAATAATTAAATTGAGAAAAAGAGAAAATAAAAAAAAAAAGAAAAAAATGAAAAGGTAAATTGAAAAAAAATGAAAAGGTAAATGAATGAAAAGGTAAATTGAGAAAAAAGAAAATGAAAAAGGTAAAGAAAAAGAGAAATGAATAAGGTAAAATTGAGAAAAGAGAAAATTAAATTTTAAATTGAGAAAAAGAGAATGAATAAGGTAAAAAAAAAGAGAGAATGAATAAGGTAAATTGAGAAAAAAAGAAAATGAAAAGGTAAATTGAGAAAATGAATAAGTAAATTGAGAAAAAGAAATGAATAAAAAAGGTAAAAAAAATGAAAATGAATAATATAAATTGAAAAAAGAAAAAATTGAAAAAAAAAGAATGAAAAGATAAATTGAAAAAAAGAATGAAAAAGGTAAAAAAAGAAAAGAAAATGAAAAAAAAAATTTTTAAAAAAAGAAAATGAATAAGGTAAATTGAGAAAAAGAGAGAATGAATAAAAATTGAAAAAAGAGAATGAATAAAAGAGAAAAAAAAAGAATGAATAAGGTAAATTGAGAAAAAGAAACGAATAAGGTAAATTGAGAACGAATAAGGTAAATTGAGAAAAGAGAAATTGAATAAGGAATTATTGAAGGGTTAAAAAAAAAACGAATAAAAATTGAAAAAAGAATGAATGAATAAGGTAAATTGAGAAAAAGAGAATGAATAAGGTAAATTGAGAAAAAGGGGGGAATGAAAAAGATAAATTAAGAAAAAGAGGAGAATGAAAAAGGTAAATTGTGAAAAAGGGGAATGAATAAGGTAAACTGAGAAAAAGGGTGAAAGAGAAAAATGAATTAGGAAAAAAGAAAATGAGAAAGACAAGTTTTTTAAAGAGATAGAAAGCAAGAATAAGAAAAATAAATTGAGAAAATAATGATAATTAATGGAAGCGAAAAAAAGGGAGAGTTATAAAGATAAATTATGAAATGAGAAAACAAAAAAGAAAGGGAAAAATAAATTAACAAAAGTGAGAAAAAGGAAAAATGTGGAAGTTAAAGTAACTAAAGAGAGAAAAGAGTGAGAGTGATAAATTTTTTTTTTTTAAATACCTGGAATTATTGCACTCAAAGACAAAGAGAGTGGAAAAGAAAGAGAAAGAAACAGGTACTTATCTTTGGTTCAGAATCTCTTTATATTTTTGATCACAGAATAAGGCTTAATTTTCCAAAATACAACAGACTCCTGAAGAAGGTCATAGGGTATAGAGGTCGAAACATTGTGATGAAAAAAGTAAAACAGCAAAGACAAAGAAATTAGACCACATGAAGTGAAAAACAAGAATTGCATCACATCACTTAAAAAATCTTAAAAATGAAAACCCTTGAAGGGACTGAACTCAGAAATTGTGTGTTGCAAGTGTAATCCAATAGCCATTGTTCGATCAAATGTGTTCAAGGAGATATATGCTCAACCCATATTTTGTTAAAAGGCCATAATATTCAAATAGGTCATTAACAATATCTTAGAAAGGAAAAGGAATTAATTATTTGAGAAGGTGTGAATGCTGGAAAATGTCTTAAGGAGGAAGAAGAAACTTGAAGCAAAAGAAATGTGGTTCTCTCAGAAAGATGTTGAGGATGCCATGGACCGAACATGTGAGCAATGACAAGGTTTTAGAGAAAACAGAAACAAAAAGGAAACTTATACTTAACATCAGGAAGAGGTAATTGAAATTTCTGGAGGATGTCATGAGGAAGGAGGGCTTGGAAAATCTGATACTCACAGGGAAAGATGTAACAGGAAAATAGAAACAAAACATACTTGATGATCTTGAGTAAATGGATGGTAAAACAAGGTTTGGCAGAAAAAGCAAAAAACAAAGCTTATTAAGAACTACAAGGGATGGGAAGATGTGGAGGGTCATGATCTTCCATATCCTGAAGGGTCACAGCAAAAAAAAGAAGTAAAAGAAAGCAACAAGAAAGGACTAACTATTAACTATAAGGTGACAATGTTCAGCAAGAGAGAGTCCCATGCCTGAGCTACATAAAAGAGGATCTAAATCCTACATCCTATGTAGCAACAGGTGAAAGAATATATGACATAGAAATACTCAAGGTATCTTCCATAAAGTAAACAAAATATTGCAACAAAGAAAAATGTCCTTAGCAACAAAGAAAGGAGTGTGGAACTACTATGCAATATCTAATTTCCTCATAGACAAAGAGGCTTGAATTTTGAATACCATAGACTGAACGTATGAGTAACAAAGAAGTTTTAAGAAAAATAGGAACAAGGAAACTTATACTTACAATCAGAAAGAGACAATTGAAATTTCTAGAACACACAATGAGGAATGAGGGCTTGGAGAATTTAACACACATAGGACATAATGAAGGCAAGTGAAGCAGGAAGAAACAGCAAGTAAACTATTTTGCATTAATGGATGGAAGAACGAGGATAAAGAGTGATGGTAAAAGAGCAAAAGTTATTTTAAGAAACAAAAGACAGGAGGCTGTGGAGAACTATAATTAACTACATCCTGAAAGGATTGAGACACATAAAAGAAAATGATCATCATTACATGCCAGGTATTCAAGTAATAATAGATTTTTTTTTAATAAAGCAATTCAAAAAATGGTTTGTAAAAATAACAATCATTGCACTGTAGAACTGTTAACAGGAACTTAGAGAGAGCAACATTACTTAAAAGAACTGGGGGTGCTGAGGAGAGTCTTTTAATATTCAGAAGACTTGTTTTTATTTAATCTCAAGTGCAAGCCACCCATTAGTATTATTTTGTGAAAGTGATATGATGATCATTGCACGATGGAACCCTGAAAAGATTAACCAAAAGCTTGGAACTTGAAGACAACATCATTGCTGAAAAGAACGGGGATACTGGGGTAAGTCCTGCATACTGAGGAGACTTGTTTTGATTTCACCTGAGGTGCAAGCCACGAGTCACTAATAATTTGTGAAAATAATATGATGACTAAAATATTTTAAGCAATACCAACTAAGATGAGCATACAGCTCCGAATTGCAAAATGGATAATAATAATAATTCCTGATGCCAAAAATACCAATAAAGGTCATTATTGCTGCCATATATGGTCTGGGGCAGCTTCTGTTTACCTCTGAGTTCTTGACAAGATCCAGAGATGGATATGTAATATAATTGGCCCTGATCTGGCATCTCATCTACAGTCACTCTCTCACAGATGCGCCGTCGCCTCTCTCTGTCTTTTCTACAAATACTTTCATCGTAATTGCTCTGATGAGCTACTTTCACTGGTTCCCAGACTCCATGAATTCAAGCACCCTACGAGGCTGGCATCCCGCTCTCACCCTTTCACTGTAAAAACTTTTAAATGTAGCCGTCTCTTCTACTCCAATAGCTTTATACCTCGCACCTCTCGTCTGTGGAACACCCTTCCCAATTACTGTTTCCCTGAGAGCTATAATCTCCAACTATTCAAATGTAATGTCAATCGACATCTCCAGTTACCTTGATCTATCCACTATCCCTCTCCCCATCCTTTCTTCTATCACTCCTATCTGCTCTCACTCCAAATCTTCTGCAACCCCCTGCAGCCTAGTGGCTTCACACCTTGCTTGGGTGTAATGCTTAAAAAAAAAAAAATTAAATCAGTACAAGCTAAAATTGTGAGTATACAAACCAAGATGAGCGTGTTTATCAGAACAGAAAAACATAATTCCTGATCTCAAAAATTCTAAGTGGAAGTAAAAACCTAGTGAAGACAAAAGGATATTTCAGGGAATATTGATGTATAAGATCAAAATCACAAGTAGCATTTTTCAAGACCAAC